GCACTTGCGGATGCGAGTGAGGGGGCGGGTGCGGTATGATTTGCAGGTGGGTTGCGGTTTGAGTCGCGGGTGGGTCGAGAGTGGTTCGCGCGGTGATTCGCGGAGTGGGTCGCGGGTAGGCCGCGATCGTGTCATGGGAAAGAGCGACGACAATCTGCAATAACAACACCAACAGCACCAGCAACGAGGACCACCAACGAAAGCGAATGACAGTTCAGCCCCCATTTTTTAATGGCATGCATGGTCCACCGCGCGAGCAACGCTCACACATGTACAGCACGATATCGGTTACAGGTAGACGCGGGCAGACTCGCATGTCAACGTGGCTACGCCCTCCTCATTCATGGGGGGGGGGGGGGCGGGGGCGGGGAACGGCAATTGCGCAGCCAGAGGGCGCTGATTTGAATCAGCACGCCAAGCGCGTATACATGGCACTGGAAACCGCGGCCCGCGTGCGACAGATGGCTGAGGGGGGGCGCGCGCCCCAGATGCGGCGTTCCGAGCGCAATGGTTTGATGGTTCGATGGTGCCGGTCTTGGGGCATATCCAGTGGTGTTGTGCAAATCGGCATCCGAGCGGTTTTTCGACAAGTCGGGCGACATGGAGATTTGCAGGGAAGCGGCCGCGCTCTGGGATGCAGGGGGTCTTCGAGCAAAGTGGACGCCGCAGTTGCGGCAGTGAGAGGGGAATGCATGGCGTGCCGCCTGAAATGGTCATTCAATGGCGCGAAGCGGCTGATACACGAGCACCAGAAGCACAGGCCGACCGACGAAGTCCTGGAAAGGCTCGGCGAGGTGGCGATGGGCCAAGAAGCAGGCGCCGAGGAGGGCGACGAGTGCCAGGGGAAGGTGGGGGGCGAGGGGGACGAGGAGGAAAAGGAGGACGAGGAAACTTCATGGGCGGAGGATATTGAAAAACACGGCGGTGCCGCAACTGCTGAGTCTGTGCCAAAACATGCCGTGCCCTCAGAGGAAACCCTGGTCGACGCCGCGACGGCCGAGCAGGTGGCAGTGGCGCAGGCCTTGACGGCGACAGTCCGCCCAGTTGGTGATATGCTGCGAATGGTGGGCATGGAGAAATTGGCAGAATTCAGACGCGCGGCACAGCAGAACCAACACAATCGTTTGCGTGAGTTGTTTCGGGAGGACGATCATCCCCTGCGAGCGTTGACTGTCCGGCGAGATCTCACGGCCGCGCAGGCAGAAAACGGCGGCGCGTGGCGAAGGAAACCAACGACAGGACCAGGGCACTTAGCGACCTTAGGTGGCATATTCAACATGCCGAGGTCATCTTGAAGGAAAAACGCCGCAGCTGCGGCGGAAGCAGCTGCGGCGGAAGCGGCGGTGGCTAACGAGCAGGCCCTTGCCCAATGGAACCCCCAGGAGTTCAAGGTCAAGGAAAACAGATCAGAAAATCATGATGGCAGCGCTAGACCGATTGTCGCGCGGAAAAGGCGTTCTCTCGGAGAGGGGCGGGTGGGCATGGTTTAAAACGCATTGGGGCGAACAAATGCGCAAGGAACACAAGGAATAATGACCATTTACGTTCAGTGCATGGGTACATGGACTCCCAGACGAGTCGGCCATGGGAAATTGTTCGGCGCTGTCCCAGTTCATGCATTCTGAAACAGTCAGGACACTAGTCGGGCAAATTCCGCCGGTGATCCCAGCGTCCGCCGCTGCAGGCCTCCGTCGCGGACCCGTTTGGGCGGGCGTTTTTTCGCGGTGGTCGAACAAACATTGGTGGGCGAGCAACGGGTGGGAGGGCTGGGAAGACATCGGGTGGACAACCAGCCAATGGGAAGGCTGGAGTTTGGGCGCGCACTGCGGATGGACGTAGTGAGAATGGTTGCAGCGTTGCCGCAGTTGCGGGCAGTGCTGCGTCGGCGCTGCGCGGCCAGCGTATGAACCTGCAAACATCATCACGTTGCTGGTGTCATCGTTTTTGCCGGTGCCACTTCTGTGTTGTCGTTGCCAAAGCACATATCGCAACTGTTCAGGGCAATGCCCAGGCACTGTTGTGAACACGCTCAAATCAGTGCTTGGGGTGTGCTGTGGAATTTCCCAACTTCTCCGTCATATGACCTTTTTTGGACGAGCGTGCGCCAGCGTATGATAGCCAATGGGAGAGCAATGCTCTAGAGTCGATCGACGTCGACGAAAATCGGTGCGCGTCGATCCGCAGGAGCCAGCAGGACGGCACTGTAGGATCCCACGTGTTGCCACCGAAGAAGGGGGAGCAGACTGAGGGGGGGAACCGCACTTCAACGAAAAATAGAAACTACCCCCAAAATGCCCCAAGAAGGTCAAACAGTATTCAAAAAATAGTCCCCTCACTATTTTTTTTTTTTGCATTTTTTGATTATTTCCGGGGTATGTTTTATTTTTCGTCGAAAATCCCCCTGTATGGGGGACAGGCCCGACTCAACACTAGCGTGCGCCAGCAATTGGTCATCGACGAGAAACGCCGGTTGAGCGTCGACTCGCCCCGCTGGGTGTCGCTCTGGCGTTTCAAAGCGTCGGCTGCCGCCGTTTAGCGTCGCCTAGCACCGACCCCCGAGAGTCAGCAAGACGGCATGGGATATTCCCGCGAGTTGCCACCGACGGAAAGAAAGCAAACGGAGGGGGGGGAGGTGCAGGAAAAGGTGCGCACCTCTACCCGAGTCACCCGAAGCGCAGCGTATATGGCCTCGGCCTTTCGGTGCTCCTTCCCAGGAAGTCCAAAACGTTGCGGCTATGCATATATATGTATATATATACACATACATACACAGACATGCATATGTATACATATCTTGCGCACAGGGAGGAACAACAGAGGAGAGCCGGATCGAGCCAAGACCCTGGGCAAGGGGAGCCGTTTAGCGTTTGCGCCCTGATGCCGCCAGCATGGCCTGGAATAGTTCAACCAGGTCTGCCGCAGCTGGTGTTTCTACGGGTGGCGGCAGCTCCTGTCAGGGGGCTGGGGCGGGGGGCGTCCCCCAGCGCATATCATTAAACCAGGTCCAGCTAAGCCCACCCCTGGCAACGCCTTGAAGGAAATGGGGCGAGGACGAGCACAATCCTTTCCAGACCTTTCCAGATCGCTTCCAAAGCGTTCAAGAACGCTCTGAGAAGGCAGCGGCGCCCGAGACACCCTTCACAGCCGCTGGATCTGACAGAATCTTGGTTTATCTTCACCCGATTTAATCCTCGTCCTGGCTTCGTCTTAAGCCAGGTTCCACGAAACCCAGCCCTGCCACCGCTCGAGGGTTAGAAAGACAACCATCGGGTTGGGAGGATGGGTTTGGGAGACATGATCGTATCATCCACATTGCCGCGTATGTCGAAGGTGTTTACTCCATAGTCGCACGCTGCATCTTCCTCCGAGCACGACAATCGTCTTTCTTAGAGAGCAGTTCCAGGCCGTCCAGGGGCGCTCTGAGAGAGTTCCGGCACGCTCTGAGAAGGCATCGGCGCCCGAGACATCTTCCAGAGCCGCCCGGTCTCAGAGATTCTCGATTTATCTTCGCCCGATTTGATTCTCGTCCTGCGGCCACGCGCAGCAAGGGGGTAAGGGGAGGGGGGAAGGCTTCTCAGAAGCACCCCTGTTTCCCAGAAGGCGCGGGCCTCACTTATAGATGCAGGACTGCCGCCTTCTGAGAAGCAGCCAGCCTCCTTGTAAGGCACCTTTTCCCCCTCCCCCTACCCCCTTCTGCCCGCCGCCAGCGAGGATGATAAGGATGAGGATGATAAAGAGGATGATGATGATGCTGATGATGATGACGATGATGATGCTGATGATGATGATGATGATGATGATAATGATGATAATGGCGAGGGCGGTGGTGGTGGTGGTGATGGTGATGGTGGTGGTGGTGGTGATGATTGTGATGATGTTGCTGATGAAGAAGAAGATGATGATGATGATGTTGATGATGATGATGATGAGTATGATTATGATTCTGATTACGAGGAGGCGGAGGAGGAGGAGGTTGGAGGAGGAGACGGAACACGAGTAGGAGGAGGATGAGGAGGAGAAGGATTCGTCTGGAGGAGCAGGCGGGAGGAGGAGCAGCAGGAGGAGAAGGACCAGTGTACACCCAACATCAAAGATGCTGGAATAAACCCTCCCTCCAAGCTCTCTCTTCATAGGCCCCCACAAGGGTTGATTTTCATTCAGGGAACTGCCTCGTTGGAAGACAACCGTTTGAAGACCCTGACCTACGCCAAAACATCGTTCTCAAAATTCCAACGCCACAGATCAACCTGACTATTGCGTCTTGACGATCTTGAACCGTGCCAGAGAGACATTCTTGGGCTTTCAACACTGCGAATCAACATAACTGTTGCGCCCTCATAATCATTAATCCTTCCAACACACCATTTCTGTTACGCTGATCATGGGAATCCGTGACACTCTGGCAAAGTAAAAGATAACCCTCAATTCGCGAAATTCTTGTAATTTTGAAACGAATGTGCGTGGCGCTAAGGCGAAAGGCACATGTTGATAAGGCACCGCCCTCAATCCGTGAAACTTTTGCAATGTTTAAATCGAATGTGCGCGGCGCCACGGCGAGAGGCACATTTTGAAGACGACTCACCCTCCATCTGTGAAACTCTTGTCAATGCTTAAGCTTCAGGATCACAAATGGTGAGGACGTCTCAGGCGAAACGCCCGGACCGCCATAAAAGTTTGCCTCGAGGTGCGATTGGGGGGAATGATAAGTTATTAATAAGGAGAAAGAGTGGAGGAGGAGGAATTGGAGGAGGAGGAGGAATAGCAGGAGGAGGAGGAAGTGGAGGAATACGAGGAGGAATGGGAGGAGGAGGAGGAGGAGGAGGAGGAGGACCAGGAGGAGGACCAGGAGGAGGACCAGGAGAGGACCAGGAGGAGGACCAGGAGGACCAGGAGGAGGAGGAGGAGGAGGAGGAGGAGGAGGAGGAGGAGGAGGAGGAGGTAGGAGGAGGATTGTCTTGAGGAGCAGGAGGACCCCCCACCCCCACCCCCCACCCGGCGAGGGGGGCGGCCGCGGCCCTGCAGCGCCCAGTCGGCCGTGCGGCAGCACGAGCCCATCGCCGAGGACGGGCCACAGGCGGGCGGGCTGGGCGGGCTGCCGCACGGGGGGCGCCATTTCGGGGCGAGGGGGGGAGGCGGAGGAGGACGAGGAGGAAGAGGTGGAGGAGGAGGAGGAGGAGGAGGAGGAGGAGGAGGAGGAAGAGGTGGAGGAGGAGGAGGAGGAGGAGGAGGAGGAGGAGGAGGAGGAGGAGGAGGAGAAGGAGGAGGAGGGGGAGGAGGCGGAGGTTGGGGGAGGAGGAGGAGGAGAGGAGGAGGAGGAGGAGGAGGAGGAGGAGGGGAGGAGGAGGAGCAGGAGGAGGAGGAGGAGGAGAAGGAGGAGGAGGAGGAGGAGAGGGAGGAGGAGGAGAGGGAGGAGGAGGAGGAGGAGGAGGAGGAGGAGGAGGAGGAGAAGATGAGGACGGAGGATGGGGAGAGGGAGGAGCAGGATGAAGGCCCCCCTCTCCCCTCGCATCCTGCGACTCTAGGCCTCCCAGATTTGGTCCCAGCAGATGGGGTCGGAAGATCCCGCCGCATCGCCGATGCACCGGCGATGCGGTTCAATGCGGAGCTCAATTTGCTTCAAGCCGACGTCTCGGATGCATCGCCGATGCATCGCTGATGCATCGCTGGTGCATCGCCGGTGCATCGGCGATGCGGCTCGATGCGGAGCTCGATTTTCTCCACGCGGGCGTCGCTGATGCATCGCCGATGTCGCCGGCGCATCGCCAGTACATATGCGGTGCATCGCCGATGCATCGCCGATGTATCCGCGATGCGGCGCGATCTTCCGACCCCATCTACTCCGACTCCATCTAGGAGGCATCTATGGGGGGGACGCAAATCGGGGAAACGTGAGACTCAAGTACGGTCGGACCGAGGTATTGGCAACCTCCCAAATGGTACCCTTGCATCCTTGCCTCCTCGGCCCATCATTGGCCACTGTCGTTGGCCGCGCCCCGCTCGAAAAGCTTCCAAAGGGGCGTCCAAGGCGCTTGCATCCTTATCGCGCATCCTTGCCTCCTCGGGTCGACTGTAGGTCCGACTGTACGCCGGAACTCGGGCCCGCCGACGCTTTTGAATGCGTTTCGACGGCAGGCCGAGGAGGGGCAGACGCCCCAGGGCCCTCGTCCGAAGAGGGCCCATCGAGGCCCCAAGGGCTGCACGACCCAGCATCACAGGACGGCTGGGAATTATGCTCCTGAGATGTTTGAAGGATTTGGGCGTCCTCGCCTTTTCGGGTTTCCGATTCTCGAAGACGGCCCAGGAGGCCCCCAAGACCAACACAAAAAGGCCCAAGAGGCCTCCAAGAGGGCCCCAAGACGGCCTAAGAGCGCCTCAAGACGGCCCAAGAGGCGCCCAAGACGACCCAAGAGGGTCCCAAGATGGGCCCAAAAGGGTCCCGAGAGAGGGAACCGAAAATCCGAGCCTTCAGCCCCAAGAGGTTCCCCAGGAGGCCCCAAGAGACGCCCAGGAGGCCCCGAGAAGCCTCCACGAGGCCCCCAAGAGGCCCCAAGAGGCGCAAAAGAGGCCCCAGGAGGCCCCGAAATGGCCCCCAGTAGGCTTCCAAACTGCCTCTAAGATGCCCCCGAGAGGCCTCCCACGAAATCCTAACGAACCTCTCAAGGTGGCCCACTAGGCTTCGGGAGGGGAACAACAACACAGACACGATTAATCGTCGATTCCCAGGAGCGTGTGGGAAGATATAGCAAGTGGGGGGGGGAAGACGAAAACCCAGAAAACACATGACAATTGGGGGGATCCGGGGGGGGGGTTATTTATTTGTGTGTGTGTGATTGTGTGTGTGTGTGTGTCCCTGGGCCCCTTCAAGGCTTAAGAAGCCGCGTCCAGGAGACGCTCGGAGAGGCCTTCAGTGAGGCCCTCAGAGGTGAGAAACGCTGAACTACGGAAGGGACAACGATGTTCTCGTGGGGTGTTCGCAGCGGGAGCTCGCGTCAAGCTTTCAGACTGGGTCTCGTCATTTTCAGGATCGCTCCGTCAGGCCAGCCCGAGTCCCCCGCACCCGAGTCTTACGCCTCCCCGATCAGAGGAGGAAGAGGTGCCCGTACCGCTGCCCTCGCCCCGTTTTGGCGTTTCGGGCCTCCTCCTCCTCCTCCTCCTCCTCCTCCTCCTCCTCCTCCTCCCGGGAGGCGCCCGCCGGCGCCGCCCAGCCGGCCGCGCGGCAGGGCCAGCCCCTCGCCGAGGAGCGGCCGGCAGGGCGGGCGGGCGGGCTGCCGCGCGGGCCGCGTCGACCAGATGCAAGAGCGACCGTTCGCCGGAGTGACCTTTGGCGCGGGCTCGTCGGGGTCCCCCCCGATCGCTGAGCGTCAGAGCCCCACATCATCAGGGGTACTCCAGATTTCGTAATAAAGAGAGGGGGGTCTCATTTCGGGGGGGTCTCTTCCAGGCTATCTTGGAGGGCCTGGGGGGGTCTGGGGACGATGTTTTGGAGGGTTCTCCCACGGGGGGGGGTCTGAAATGGCTTGTCTCGGAGGGTCCAGACCCCCTGCCTTCTGTTACGAAATCTGGAGTAACTCGGGTCAGGGTTACCTCGGGTTCGTTTCTCGGGAATCCGAACCCGAGTTACCCCGGACCCGAGTTACCCCGGATAACTCGGGCGTCCAGAGCCCCACATCATCAGGGGTAACTCGGGTCAGGGCTGACTCGGGATCCTTTTTTCGGGGATCCAAGCCCGAGTCACCCCGCACCCGAGTTGCCCCGGATGACTCGGGCGCCCAAGAGCGCGACGCGATGGCGGCTGGTTTCTTCTCTGGATTTGGCCAGCTTGCGCCCCCTTCGCCCGCGCACCTCTAGGCCTCCTAGATAGGGTCGGAGTGGATGGGGTCGGAGGATTGCGCCGCATCGCCGATACATCGGCGATGCATCGGCGATGCGGCTCGATGTGGGGCCCGTCTTTCTACACGCCAACGTCGCCGATGCATCGCTGACGTCGCCAGTGCATGGCCGATGCATCGCTGATGCATCGTCGATGTATCGGCGATACGGTGAGATCCTCCGACCCCATCTACTCGGACCCCATCCAGGAGGCTTCTAGCACCATAGGTCACTCTGGCCTAGGGTCATTCTTGCGTGTAGCCGAGGGTCGACTAGACGTAAGAGCGACCTTTCGCCGGAGTGACCTTTGGTGCGGGCACAGATGGGTCCACAGATGGCTGGAAGCGAAGCAGCAGCTTCGGATGCAACTCCTGAGAGGTCAAATTCTGTTTTCGCCCTGGTCCGAAATCCGGCTCAATCCCGCTTGATCCCGCTCAATCCGGCTTCATCCCGCTGAATGCCGCTCAATCCTGCTTAATTCTGCTTGGTCCGAGGCCCACTCCGGCGTAACAGCTCCCAAATGGGGCTTAATCCTCCTTAGTAGTTCCGACGAAAACCTCCCAGTAGTTGCCTCCTAACAGATGGTCCCCAGATGGCTGAAAACGAAGCAGCAGCAGCAGCAGCAGCAGCAGCAGCAGCAGCAGCAGCTTGCGCGCCCAGGTTTGGTACCCCCGCGGCCCCCAAAAAGTCGCGCTCCAAAGGTCACTCTTACTCAGGGTCACTCTTGCGTATAGCCGCGCGGGGCCCCCTTGGGGAGGGGGGCCCCGCCGGAGATGCTCTCGCAGTGCCTCACAGTCAAGGCTGAAATTGGGCGCGTTCCTCTGCAGGAGGGATATTCAAAAACAATCAAAAAATAGTTAGGGGACGTTTTGACAATGTTGGAGCATTGTCTCCTTATTTGTTCTTTTTCGTCGACAATCCGCCTGTAGGAGGACATGCCCGCACTAAGTCATGGCCCCCGCTGAAGACTTCCTCGCAGCCAGGCGTCGGGGGCCCAAAAGTGAGCGGCCCGCTCGGATTCATAACATCATCTGCGGGCCCCCATCTGGAGGGGGCTCCCGCCTGAGACGCTCCCGCACTTCGCTCACATATGAGGCCCCCCGCCTGAGACATCCTCAAGATTCAAGCGAAGAGGGCCCACAAGTGATGACACTTACATGTTTCGGATTAGCCGTCTGGGTTACTGACATGATTTGCTCGTCCCATAGGGATGGAGCTCCCGCCTCACAATTCACGCAGCCTGACACTTCCTCAAAAACTAGGCCGGAGGGCACAAACGCGACTTACAAGTTACCGATGACCCTGTGGGATTAATAACATGAGCGGGGGGCCCCATAGAGAGGGGGCTCGTTCATGCGACATCCTCGCAATTCACTGACAGACATGGCCCTCGCCTGAGAATTCCTTAAGATTCAAGCCTCGGGGACCCAACAGTGATGACAGTTACATAATTCCGGCTCGCTCGGATTAGCTGCATGAGCTCTGGGCCCCATAAGGGATGGGGTTCCCGCCTGAGATCGCCAGACATTCACGCACAGACAAGGTTCCCGCTCGAGACTTCCTTGAGATTCCAGTCTCGAGGTCCAGCATTGACGACGGTTACACGGTTCGAGTGGCCCGCTCGGTTTTACATCATTGTCTTCGGGCCCCATTGGAAGAAGGCTCCCGCTAGAGATTTCAAAGCACTTCACTCACCGACAAGCCCCCGCCTGAGATGTCCTCAAGATTCAAGCCTAAGGTGCGCAAGAGTGACGACAGTTGCAAGGTTTAAGTGGCCCTCTCGGATTAGTAAAATTAGCTGCTGGCCCCTTAGGGAAAGCGGCTTCAGCCTGAGATGTCCCCGCAATTCACTCAAACACCAGGCTACCGCTCTAAACCTCCTCCGGATGAGGGTCTTAATGTGTGAGTGGTTGAGTGGGTGTATGAATGTGTGTGCGATGGTGATGGTACCAATGGTATGATGCGATATTGTTGGCGACGACGACGACGACGACGACGACGACGACGACGATGATGATGATGATGATGATGATGATGATGATGATGATGATGATGATGATGATGCTAATGATGACGATGGTGATGATGATGACCAGGAGGATGATGATGCCGTTAATGATGATAATGATGATGTTGCTGATGATGTTTATGTGAATGTTAATGATGATGGCGATGGCGACGGAGATTATGATGATGGTGATGATGCTGCTGCTGATGATGATAATGATGTTGCTGCTGCTGATGGTGATGATGATAATGATGATGATGATAATGATGATGATGATGCTGATGATGATGATGATGATGACGGTGATGATGATGGCGCTGATGATGATGATGATGCTGCTGATATTGATACTGCTGATGATGCTGCTGTTGCTGCTGATGATGATGATGATGATGATGATGATGATGGCTGTGATGACGTCGGATGCTCTTGTTCCTTCGCGCGTGTGTCCAGAGTAAACGAACCCCACGTAGGATGTGGATAACTAACGCAAATGGGCCCTGGGAGGGGTCCGGGAATCGATGTTTTGAGTGGATTCGGGGCTTAAGAGAAGGGGGTCAATGCAAACGGGGGTCAGCCAGGGCACCGGATCCTGCAGGATCCTGCGAAGACCCCTTCTGGCTGACCCGGGTTAGCGAGCCGCTCGTGGCCGCGAGGCGGCCGCGCATATTGGCCGACCTGGGTTTGAGAAGACCTGCGTTGCAGTTTTTTTTCCTGCATTGCATTTTTGTGGTTTCCTGCTGACCCGGGTCTGTATTGACCCGGGTCAGAAGATCCCCGATGGATTTGTCTTCATCCCCCCACCCTCTCCTGACTGATTTTGCCAATCCCAAGGGAGGGTGATGACATGACCAGGGGGAGGAGGAGGAGGAGGGGGAGGAGGAGGAGGAGGAGGAGGAGGAGGAGGAGGAGGAGGAGGAGGAGGAGGGGCTATGCAATCTCCTAGGATCTCACGGGCCCCTCGCCTTTTTTCGGTGTGAGCCCTCGGCCACCCCCCTCGTCCGCGCGGAGGGGCGGGGCAGGTGCGGGTTGGCCCATCCGTCGCTTGGTGCCCGCACGCATGCGTCTCGTCGTGGCCTCCCGCGGGCGCCCCGTGGGTGCCTTGTGCGCTGGACGGCCGCACATCTTGCACCACATGTCATTGCCTCGCCTTTCAGGAGAAGCCGGGCCCCCACCCCCCTCCCAAGCCTGGGCTTCACGGGGCCCGCACGGACACTGCAAACTACCGACGATTCTGCGTCGTCGTTCGTTCTCTTCATGAGTTCACACCTGTCCAGCCCAGCCGGTATCGCCCCCCCTCCTCATCTGTGTCATATGATGTTCTTCGCGCACACCCATTGATCCCAACATATCCGCACTCAACCCCAAGGCTGCACAACGTCAACACGCGCACGCACATGTCAAAAGTTTGCCAGCACACCAGTTCTGCAAGCATGCCATCATACATACAGTGCCGTTTTTAATACATGGTCCGCGTGCGGATCATGTATCAAAAGTACAGGACATTAGTATTAAATCAACGATGGGTGCATGCATAAAATGATTCATAGGTTAATCATGTATTAGAAGTCCTATCTTAAAATATCATATGTTTTTGAACACCTGCCTTGTACAAGGGCACAGCTGCCCGCACACATGTGCGGACATCCCCAGATGTCAATCCGACTGCAGCACTCTCGCCTTGCTCGCGCACTGCGTGGTGCATCCGCGTGGCTCCAGCCTGCGCCCCGCGTGCGAACCCGTGGCAAATAACACCGTGCGGGCCACGCGCGCGCGTGCCGCCACGCGCGCGCTTCGAAATCCGCTCAGGATGGGGGCCTTCAAAGGCACATGTAGTGCCGAGTGCTGGACAACAAGCAATCTGCCAGATTCCTCGCATGTGTTGCGCGCGCACGTACTCGAGCCAGCGCCGCGATCACCATCCACTACCGACACATGGACATCTTCATCGCCATCGTCGTCACCAGCATCGGCGCCGTCATGGGCCTTGCCGTTGCCATGGTCATATCGCCACCACCGTCGCTACTATCATCATCGTTGCCGCCGTTGTCGACGTCATCATGGTACCGCGCCCTCCCGAGTCACGGACCCACATTGAAGCGCCTCTGACGCGGTTTTGAGATGTGTTTGGAAGTTGCCATCGGTAAGCGGCACTGCTTTGCGCGCGAGCTTGCCTGCGCTAGCTCAGCCGCAGGGATACGCCAGCGAGCGGCAAGGAACCACCGCAATCGATGCCGCATTGGCTGTGCAAGACAAGATGCGGGTGGGCATTTGGATGACTTGAGAGGACTGCGCGGCCAGTGGGGCTGACACCTGTTATCAGTGAACATTGGTCAATACTCGGATGCCGATTTTACCCGAAAGTTCGCGCCACGTGGCATTTAAAACGTAGGGTGCACCGCGCAGCTTATTCCGCACAGCGTCCAGCACAAAGCTTGCACCACGCAGTGTGCAGCGCATTCCTAACACCGCGTAGCCCACACTGCAAACCGTGCACCACGCAGCGTCCACCACAGTTCTCGCACCACGTGCACTCGCACTCCCCGGGTGCGTGGCTGAAGGAGGCTTCCGCGGCGTTGGTTGTTGCCTTTTTAGTGGTTTTCCGGTGTTGTTGAATTTTCATCTTTGGGGAACAATTGCGGTCTCTGCTTTATCTTTCTTCGTTTCCTCACATGTTTTCCAAAATCGTGGCGGCCTGTGAGTGGAGCTGCAGCAGCAGCAGCAGGGAGCAGCAGCAACAGGTGCTGCTGGCAGCGGCAGGAGCAGCAACGTCAGATCTGCAGTATGGAGCGCGCTGCTCATGAGGATGATGAGGATTAAGTTGCTGGTGTTGTTGGTGCTGCGGCTAAAGCTGATGCTGGGGATGATGCGATGCTGATGATGCTGATGCTGGCGACGACGACGATGATGTTGATGTTGAAGGCGATGCTAAAGATCCTTATCACGATCATGGTCGTGATCATGTTCACAATTGTGATGTCTGCAATGGTGGTGGTACTGATGATGATGAGGGTTAGGACGCCGACGATACTGAGAAGGTTGAGGAGGATGTCGATTATGGTACTGATGCTTGGTGATGCTGTTCATAATGTGGAGGAGGAGGGGGAGGAGAACGAGGAGGAGGAGGAGCAGGAGGAGGAGGGCGGCAGTCACGACGATGGTGCTGGGGAGAGAGAGTGTGAGTGTTGGGAAGAGGGAGGAGATGAGTCAGGAGACGCACGGCGCTGCAGAGAGACAACGAGGACCCAACAACACGGGATGCTTCACAGGGACGCGGTCTGGCCCGAAGCAGCTCACCCAAGAGGGCCAGAGTACGAGAAGGCACGGAGGGAGGCGGCGGGAGCGGAGGGAGGTACAGGGAGCCTTGCAGCCCGAGAGCCTCTCGGAGGAGTCCCATCCCCGCCAGGATCTGGTCCTGAGAGGCGCACCCGGTAGAGGCATGGAGACTGGGCTCCTCCCCCTCCCTCCTCCTCCTCCTCCTCCTCCTCCTCCTCCTCCTCCTCCTCGCTCCTCCTCCTCCTCCTCTCCTCTCCTCCTCCTCCTCCTTCCTCTCTCCTCTCCTCCTCCTCCTCCTCCTCCTCCTCCTCCTCCTCCTCCTCCTCCTCCTCCTCCTACGCGGTGGGGGGGGGGTCGGGAGCGTTTGGTCAGCGCGTCGCGCCGCTGGTGCTGGCCCACCACGCTTCGTCGCGACGCGCTGACCACGTCCCAGCCCCCCATGCTCGGATGCAACTCCTGGGAGGTCAAATCCTGATTTTGCCCTGGCCCGAAATCCGGCTGAATCCCGCTGAATCCCGCTGAATCCGGCTCGATGCAAGGCCCACTTTTGCGCAACAGCTCCCGAACGGGGCTTAATTCTCCCCTAGTCTTCCCGACGAAAGCCTCCCAGCAGTTGCCTCCGAGCCACGTCCCAGCCCCCATGCGTCAAGAGGCCTCGAGCGGGCCCCAGCCTCCCGCCCCCGCGGAGCGGAGCGACACGCTGCGCGCTCGCGGGGCAGGGCGTGTCGCCGGGGCCGCCACCGCGCGAGATGTTGCTGGCAGAGGTGCCTGGCCGTAGGGCCGTGGAAGTCGATTAGTGTCGAGGGAACGCGAGACCCGAGTAAGCCGGAACTCGGGTTTGCCGACGTTTTTTTGACGAGCGCGTCCTGGATTATGACGGTCCAGTTTTCGTGGGATGTCTGCAGCGGGAGCTCGCGTCAAATTTCAGATTGGGCCTCGTCATTTTTATGATGGCCCCGTCGGGCCAACCCGAGTCCCCCGTACCCGAGTCTTCTGTCTCCCCGATAGTGGAGGGGAGGCATGCTGCCACATGATTTCCAGGTGCCTAGACATGATTCCGACATGTTGTAAACGTGTAAGCAAACATGGTGGAAGCATGTTTAGAATATGTTCTACAAATGTTAGACACATGTTTACTTCAATGATAGGGCTGTTAGAGTGTCCATTGTCCTGGCATCCACAACCGTAGGGGAGGGCGGAACACCTCGCAATGGTTGGCCCATGGTCAACTTTGCCATTTTGATTCGCGTTGTCGCGTCTATGCCGTGATGCTCGGGCTGTCAGCGTGGTGGAGTTATTTGCTAACGTATCACGGCTTGCCATTGCACTGATCGGCTACTCGAGACTGTTGCGGATGGTGAACCTGGCACGAGTGATGTATTGTGTGTTAGAGCGTTTGTTGCCATGTTCTTGTGCCACCGCTGTGCTATTGACTTGGCCAGGATGCGTGTCGAAGCCCCTTGCCTTTTGATTCGCACCCCTGATCTCCGTCTGAGGACGCTCTATCGGGCCGTCGAGACATGCGCAAGACGGTCCATCAGGACGTTCTTACGGGGGATTGGGGCGTTCTTGCATTGTCAGCGCATGCGGATGAGGATGAGCACGGTGTGACGACCCAATAATAAACATGTTCATAAACACATCTTGTCGGAGATCGGCGCAGATTTCTTGGGTCTGAGCTTGGGCCAAAGTAATCAACAAATAGTCCGGGGACGATTTGTTTGTATGCTTGAGTTTTTTGTTTCTGAATTTTCCGTGTAGTTTGATGCGTTCGCTCCGAATCCGCTTGTCTGGGGACATGCCCGACCTAATATTGCAGACTCGAGCCTCTAGATGGGGTCTTTCGAGGCTTATAACTCAATACTTACCAGGCAGCACTTGGCATCCCAGCGCGCCCCCCCATGACAAGGGGAGGGGGAGAAGCGACACCAACACCACCAGGGGGGGCACCTCCAGCGAGGAGGTCCACGATGCCTCCCCGAGCTGGAGGCGGGGGATGTCTCGAGCGAGAGGGGGGACCACACCACCAGGGAGACCCCCCTTGCCCCCGCGCATCTCCTCGCCCTGTTGGTGTGGGTGTCGCCCTTCCTTGTTCCTACATGACAAGGGGGGGACGGCGGCGGACAACTACCTACATGGAACGGTGTTGTGCGGGCCTGTCCGCAGCGCAACGTGTGCGTGCGTGCGTGTGTGTGTGTGTGTGTGTGTGTTGTGTGTGTGTTGTGTGTTGTGTGTGCTGTGTGTGTGTGTGCTGTGTGTGCTGTGTGTTGTGTGTGATTCCTACTCGCATAGCGTTTCCGAGGACAAGTGCCTGTTGTCGTTTGTGCAGCCAGCGACGTTGCCGTTCGAAACGGCAGTACAGGGATATGATGTGATGTCTATATAGCCCTGGATCATGCAAATCGCATGTGCAAGACGAGGGCCATCTTTGGAATCCGTCTGACGTACCTCTTTGAATATATGCGGGTACACACGTATGCTTGTCGTCGTTAGGTGGTTTGTGGTGTCATGGCCTTGCCGAGCCCACTGGCATCGGTTGGGTTGTTGGCGCCCCAGTGTTCCCGCAGTGTGCATCTCATCCGAAGCAGGCGCGTTCACAGCCAGGGAGCCAGGGCCATCCTGGTCCTCAGGACTAGGAGGGCGCATCAACCATGCCATGGCCAAGGTTGCCCGTAACGTTTCGTGGTCACAAGCCGTCGTCACGGAAGCGCCCAGAACATCCGCAGGCCCAAGGGAGAGGAACGAAGGCGAATTGTTGTCGGGGAGCGCGCGCGTTGAACAAGCGAAGTTGTGGCAGTGTTTTTTGTTGGCCAGACATGGTTGGAACGCCACGTCGACGATGGATGTGTATGGAGAAATGGAGAAGGGCGAAAAGGTGGAGGAGGGAGATGAGGCGGAGGAGGAGGAGGAGGAGGAGGAGGAGGAGGAGGAGGAGGAGGAGGAGGAGGAGGAGGAGGAGGAGGAGGAGGAGAGGGGAGGAAAAACAATATAAGGAGGAGGAGGAGGAGGGGATGGGGGGGGAGAAAGGGAGGAAAGGAGGAGGAGGAGGAGGAGGAGGAGGAGGAGGAGGAGGAGGAGGAGGAGGAGGAGGAGGAGGGGGAGGAGGGAGGAGGAGGAGGAGGAGGAGGAGGAGGAGGAGAGGAGGAGGAGGAGGAGGAGGGGGAGGAGAGGAGGAGGGGAGGAGGAGGAGGAGGAGGAGGAGGAGGAGGACGAGGAGGAGGAGGAGGAGGAGGCGGGGAGGAGGAGAGAGCAGGAGGAGGAGGAGGAGAAGGAGGAGGAGGAGGAAAAGCAGGAGGAGGAGGAGGAGGAGGAGGAGGAGGAGGAGGGGGAGCGGGTGGAGCAGGTGGAGCAGGAGGAGGAGGAGGAGGAGGAGGAGGAGGAGGAGGAGGAGGAGGGAGCGGGTGGAGCAGGTGGAGCAGGAGGAGGGAGAGGAGGAGGAGGAGGAGGAGGAGGAGGAGGAGGAGGAGGAGGAGGAGGAGGAGGAGGAGGTGGCCTGGCATGCCTCTCCCTCAGCGGCGCACGGCGCACGACGATCCGCGAGGAGATCGAGGTCCACAAGGAGCACCTGCGGCTGCTCCACGACCACGTGGCGGCGCTGAAGGCGGAGGTATCCGAGGCGACCTCTGTCCGCGACCTCTGTCCGCGCAGGGGAGGAAGAAAGTTACCGCCGCTACCTCTGCCCCGCCCTCGTCTCCGCTGTCCTTGTGCCTCGCCTCGGGGGAGGCCCTCGGCACCGCCCTTTGGCGCTCGAGAGGGGCGAGCCTCGTCGGAGGAGGGTCAAGAATGTACCGATGTCGCTGTCCTTCCTCGTTGTCGCCGTGCTGGGCCTCGTGGGAGGCCCTCGTCGCCTCCGCTGGATGCGCTGCGAAATTCTGGTCAGAAGGCACCCTGGGAGAGGTCCAGGAAGTAGCCGTATGGGTACCGTTTGATCTCCCCAGATCGGGTGCTGCCAATCGGGCACCTGGCCCACATCCGCTGCGCGTTGGAGTTGTGGGGCCCCTTCCCCAGAGACAGAGGCGCAGTGGATATGGAGGTTCACCTGGCCCCTCCCTCGATTTTGATCGGATTCCCACTGCCTCGACCTCTTGGCGCTCCTTCCCAGAAAGTCCAAGACGCAGTGGATATGGGTGTGTGTATATATATTATAGGTGTGTGTGTATAGATGTATCTTGCTCGGCTCCTCCCTCCTGCCTCCGGTCGCAACTGCGTTGTCGATTCCTCCGAGCGCGTCACTGTCATTTTTCTTGCCCTCGTCCTGGTCCGCATCCTATGCCCAGTCCCCCTCCTCCAAAGGAGGAACAGGTACCCAGGCCGCTACCCAAGGGTACCCTCATGTCTTGTGCCTTGCGACCCATGCCTCCTGCATTTCTGTGGCAACGTGGCCCTCGGGAGGGTCTCGTGTCCTCTCGCGTGTCCTCTCCAATCAAGTCCCGGCTGTAACCGAGGGGGTGGGGCTGGGTTGGACGCCCCCCTCTTGGCCGCCCCCGAGGTTCCAACGGCCACTGCGTGGGCCTCCTGGTGGTGCCAACAGGGGCCTCCGCGGGGCCGCGGGAGGGCCTCTTTGCGCCGGTGCGCGGGCGGCGCGGGCGCGGGCGCGGGGGCTCAGGGTCGCGCTCGCGGCGGTGCGTCGCGGTTCGGGGCAGTGAGGAGGAGCACCCCCCGCCTCCTCTTCCTCCTCCTCCTCCTCCTCCGCCGCCTCCGCCTCCTCCTCCTCCTCCTCCTCCTCCTCCTCCTCAGTCTCCTCTTCTGAGTGAGGCCAGAGAGGGAGGAGCGAGGCCTGGCATCGCTCGGGCGTGTGCTCTCCTTGCTTTCTCGGCGAGGACCATCCAGGACCGTCCCGGGGCGAAGCAGAGACCACGCACGACGCCGAACCACGCACGGATGGGGTCCGACGGCAAGGTGGGTCTTTTTTTGTATTCATGATTTTGCCGATCGGCGCGGGCCCTCGCACCCCCCCTCCCCCCCCCACTATGGAGTAGATCTTGGCTGTTTCTGACACCTGTTTCGAGCAGGTGGAGTCCCTACCCCATAGGGCGCACGGTTCCAAGCAGTCGCGCCAAGCGGAGATCCAGAGCCAGACCCCCCCCTCCCCTCCCCCCGCTCCCTCCCAATGTCGGAACGCCGAATAAAACAACGCTCTCCAGGAAGGGGGGGCCCAGGGAGCCGTGATTCCGCTGGGCTGTGACTGCGGGATGGGCCCTCGGACTCCGGAGGCATCCCGTGCGCCGCGCGCACGCCGAGTGGAGGCGGAGAGGCGGAGGAGGCGAGGATTTAGGTGACCCAAGATGGGGTCCAGCTGAAAGGGGTTGGTGGAATGGATCTGGGGCAATTATATTGCAATTGCATTGCGCCGGAACATTGCGTTGCATTGTATTGCAAGTAGTGCTCTGCTCTCGAAAGTCCAGCAATACACTTGCGCCCTGGAGTGTATCAATTGCGCGCCCCAAATGTATTGCAACCCCACAAATCTATTGCACCGAACCTATTGCACCACCCCCTTGTCGCTGGACTCCTGTTGGTTGGGTCAAACCCGGAGGAGGAGGAGGCAAGCCGGATGTGCCCGCGCCGTCTCTAACATCCGACCTTTCCCTTCCGGCTCTGCCCACTACGCTGTGTTGTCGCTACAAATCCCCAGGCACTCTCGGACAATGCAAAAACATGACGGGCGGTTTTCCCAAGTTTTCGGCCTCTGGAGGCCCTCACCGGCCCTTGTGACCGTCGAGGACGACTCAGGATGACAAACCGGTCCTGGGGAATGGTCGAGTTCTCCAGGGTCGACGTACGTTATGAAACAATCATGACGTCGGGGGTCAGGGTACGCTGCGTTTTCTCTACAAACCCGCCGGTGCGCGTCCTGGCGCACCTGGAATTCCAAGGCACCCAGCGTGTCGTGCGCAATCGGGCAGCGGGAGCCGCGTAGACTGGAAGAGGAGCTGGCGTAAGGATTAGCAGGAGGAACAGGAAGGGGATGAGGGAGGAGGAGGGGGGCGAGGACGAACAGAGCTGCAGCAGGAGCTGGAGCGGAACGGGGCGGGAGGAGCTGGAGGACCACGGGAAAGCTGGGAGGGGAGAGGAGGGGGGCGACACGGATGAGGAAGGATTCGGGTCCGCGACAGTGGCCCGCGCTTGGACGAGAGCGCCACTGTGAACGACGGGAGCACACCGCCGATCCTGAAATGAGGCCCGCGCTGCAGCGGCAATGCCCTTTTGGAAGGGCCGGGAACATATCATTCGGAGTGAAAAGAGCTCTTCCGAAAATAAACTCCGACTAATCCTGAGCACAGTGGAGGCCGATGTCAAGAAACACCCTGCTTGCTTCCAGGGTGCCCTGGTTTTTCTTCGGCTTCGATGGTTTCTTGTGGAAGGTTTCTTGTGGATTGGCCTCCACTGTACGCGGAGGGGCGCGCGCCACTTTCAGGACATCGTCGGGGGAGAGAGGGGAGCCTAGCTCGCAGCGTACCGTGCTCAGAGAATGAGAGAGGTACAGGAAGAGAGGGGTGGGGGAAGGGGGGAGGCGCAGGAGGGAAGAGAAACATTGAGAGACCAGCGAGGACGGGGGAGGAATACTCCCCCTCCATCCTCGCAATCGCCCACCCCTGGCCCCCCCCCTAACCACCTCCTCCCTCCTCGAGTCCTTCCTCGTCCTCCTCCTCGCACCCCCCTGCCAGACGGTGGATGATGGGGGGGGGGAGGCGCCCCCCTGTGCGTTCGCCGCCAGAGCCAAGTGTATGAATGGGCTCGTGCTCCTCCTCCTCGTCGGCGTTCTCCCTGGTAGGTCTCGGCCTGCTCTCCTTCCTCCTCTTGGTGTTCCCCGCGTTCCGCCGCCCTTCCCGACGGGGGCGGGGGGGGGCGGCTCTCCACGCGCGGCACCCGCCCCCCCCCCGCTTCCCGCGGGGGAGCCGGGCGGGAGGAGGAGGGTGCGACGAAGTACGGCGGCGGAGGAAGTACACGGCGGGGGGAGGAGGCGGCGGGAGCATGCTCGGGAGAGAGAGGAGGAGGACGGGGACGAGCAGCAGCCGCAGGGGCTGGAGCGGCAGGGGCGCCCCTCCCCGAGGGGGGCGAGGGGGGGGGGGGTCCCGCGCGCGCCCCATGCGCGCTCACGCGCGTATAGCCCGCGCAGAGCCGCGCGTGCTCGTGCAGGCGCGCGCGGTTCTGCGCGGGCTCGCGCGGCCCTGCGCGTGCCGGCGAGGGGCCCGCGGGGGGCCCGCGCGCGGCGCCCTCCCGCTCGCGGCCGTGCGCGCGCTCGCGCGGGGAGGGGGGCCTCTCCGCCGCCGCGCGGCCCGCCCGCGCGCAGGTGCGCGAGGAGGCGCCGCGCCCGCGGCCGCCGCCCGGCTCATGGCCCCCCATGCAGTGGCAGCCCTCCCCTCTTCCCCGGCCCCGCCCCCACGCTGCCCACCCCTCCCTGGGCCCCTGGCTCCTCGCCTGCCCTGCCCCCCCCTTCCCTGCTCCTCCCCCGCGCTCCCCCGTTTTCCCTGTTCCTCGGCCTCGCCTCCCCTCCCTCGCTCCCTCCCCCGCTCCCCCAAAGCCCTTTCTGCCTCCCTCCGCCCCGATGCCTCCCCTCCCTCCTTGCCTCTCTCTCTCTCTCTCTCCCTCTCTCCCCCCCTTCCTCCCATCCTTGCCTCCCCCCCCTTCCACGGGCGTTCTGCCTGGATTTCGGCCTTGCGCCCCCAGGGGCCATCAGCAAAAACCTGCCCCCGGGACGCACAACTACCCCCGGGAGAGGGGCCGGGACCTCCCTGGGGCGCACGGAACAGAAGGCAGGTCGGAAGATGTCTGGGTTGTCCCCTCCTCCCCCCGGATACCCTCGCGCCACTGAAAAATCACGACGGGTGTTTCGGATGCAACTCCCTGGAGATCAAATTCTGTGTTCGCCTTGGTCCGACACCCAGCTTAATCCAGCCTAATTCCGCTGAATCCGGCTTAATCCCGCCTGCTCCAGCTTAATCCTGCTTGGTTCGAGGCCCTTTCCGGCGTAACGGCTCCCAAATCGGGATTAATCCTCCCTAAGCTTTCCGACAAAAACCTCCCAGTAGTTGCCTCCTACGGGTGTTTGGCGATTCTCCGCCTCACCGTGCCCCAGGACCGTCAACTGAAACACCCGAGGTCGACGACACGTAAGAGTGACCCTTGGCCGGAGTGACCCTCGCTGCGGGCCCATTGGGGTCCCCCGATCGCCGAGCGCGATGCGGCAGTGGCGTCTTGCACGCCTGGGTTTGGTCACCCCGCGCCTCCCTTAAAAGCCGCACACCCAAGGTCACTCTTATGTGATTGTTGTTTTATGCATTGTTTTGCCGATCGGCGCGGGCTGGCGGCCGTTGACCCCTGTCACCCCGTGGGCGAGGTCGCCCATCCCATGCGCAAGAAGAGCCATGAGAATTTGGCGCAGATTCGCCGCGGTATCTTTCAACGCCCAGAAGCCGCTGAAGTTGAGGCTGGCTCCAGCAGGATTCGGAGCGAGCGTGCCAGGCGCCGCGTGATTCCCCGAGTTGTGCATGACGACTCCTCGCCTTGGCTTCGTGCGCGTCCGAACTCATTCACCTGCAGGGTGTGTGATTGATCGTCGCGTCCGCGCCCCTTCGGAGGAAGAGGAGGAGGAGGAGGAGGAGGAGGAGGAGGAGGAGGAGGAGACGGAGGAGGAAGAAGAGGCGCAGGATGAGGTGGAGGAAGGGGGAGAATGAGGAGGAGGAGGCGGAGGAGGAGGAGGAGGAGGAGGAGGAGGAGCAGGAGGGAGGAGGAGGAGGAGGAGGAGGAGGAGGAGGAGAGGAGGAAAAGCAGGAGGAGCAGGAAGATGAGGAGAGGAGGACGAGGAGGAGGAGGAGAAGACTTCAGCAGGGGGAACATGATCGGGAGGGGGAGGAGCAGGCGAGCGTGCGAGCGAGCGACTTCGGCAGCAGGGCGGCACTGCGAGCGCGAAGGGGCACGGGCCCGGAACGGTGGGCGCCCGCCGGCGCCCTGGAGGGGGTGGGCTGCCGGTGCCGTGGGGGCGGCCAGGGGCGTCCGAGGGAGCCCGCGGCGGCCTATACTGTGGGCCTCCTCCTCCTCCTCCTCCTCTCCCCTCCTCCTCCTCATCTCCTCCCTCCTCCTCCTCCTCCTCCTCCTCTCCTCCTCCTCCTCCCTCCTCCTCCTCCTCCTCCTCCTCCTCCTCCTCCTCCTCCTCCCCCCCCCCCGTGGTTCACCCCCCGACAACTTGCACGTCAGTTCGGGTGCACGAGTTGTGGGCGCTGGGGCATGGATTACACCGGTCAGGTGACGCGCGCCATGTGCTCACACAGCGCTATACAGTCTGCAGTCTGTATCAAGAGGCGCGCCCACCAACGTTCCCACCACAGCGATCGCCCAGCATAATTACGTTTGAAACGTGCCATGATACCGGGCCACCAGTGCGATGGCCAAGCACATGTTCGACATTGATCAGGAGACACGCCCAGCATCGTCCCCACCAGCGCCTCGATGTCGATCGTGGATTAAACTATGTGGCGTCGGATCCCCGGCGTTCCTGAGGCACCGATGTAAGATAACGAATGCCGCATAGCCCAGCACTGTGCCATAGGAGACAGAAACCACATGTAATGTCAATCCCATTGTTTTCAAATGGATTCCCTTCGGGGATCATCCGTTAAAATTGGAACGATTCAGAGAAGATTAGCATGGCCCCTGCGCAAGGATGACACGCACAAATCGAGAAGTGTATAGGTTTTTTTGTTTTAAATCTCATTGTTTTAAGCATTCCGCTAGCACGGGCGCTTCCCTTTTCAGCCTGTCGGCGGAGTCCGCCATTTTTCACTGCTGAATGCCTCATATCTGCTGGATCTCTCGGAGCTGGGTCTGCAGGGCCCGCTCCAACGGAAGTTCGTCTTTCGTCTTGAACCGTTTTTTCACGATCCCGAGCATCGGTAAGGGCCCCCAAAGGCTGAAAATAGCGGAAAACCGTTCGTCTTGTTTTTTCATGTTTTGAGGGGTCTGGGCCTTGATCCCTCGACATCGTGATTCTTTCATAACGTCGCCCCCCAAGGGTGTGGCCCATTCCCTGGGACCGGTCCTTCCTCCTGAGCCGTCTTTGAACGGTCCCGGTGGCCCAGCCCCGAGGGGCCGTAGCGCAGTGGCCGAAGCGTGCCAAAGGCCTCGGTATCGCGGGGATGCGGGCAAGATTTGTATCTACATCCACGGCGTCTTGGACTGTCGGGCTCCCTTCCGCAGAAATCTAGACCTCCCAGACTGGCCTGGATTAGATGGGGTTGGAGGATCGCGCCGCATCGCCGATGCATCGGCAATGCGGCTCGATGTGGAGCCCGATTTTCTTAATGCCGACGTCGACGATGCACCGCCAGAGTTGCCGGTGCATCGCCACGGCATCGGCGATGCATCGCCGATGCGTCTCGATCCTCCGACCCACTCTACTCCGACCCCATCCAGGAGGCCTCTAAGAAGCCAGCGGCGCAGCGGATGTGGGCACAAATCTGGCCCCCAGATGCCAGATCTTTATCCATATCCACTGCGCCTCGGCCCTGTGACGCCCCTTCCCAAAATGTTCAAGACGCAGTGGCTGTAGACATAGACCTGGCCCGCCTGGGCTGGGCTCAGCGGCGAGCCCGTGGGGGAGGTGAGAAGGGGCGGGCTTTCTCAGATGGCTCGGAAGGCCCCCAGCCTTCCGAGGAGTTGCCGAAGCCTTTCCCGAAGCCGCAAACCAATTCTCAGGCGCGAGGCCTTTGAGAAGCCCTGCCGCCTCCTAAGAAGGCCCCTTCCTCCTCGGCACGCGCGATGCGTGGGCCATGAAGGCATGGACCACAGTCGACCCGCAGAGTGAGGAGAGGCATACCTCCCAAGGGTACCCTTGCATCCTTGCTTCCTGGGCCCATCCTTGGACACTTTCGCTGGCCGCGCCCCGCTCGAAACGCTTCGGAATGGGCGTCCAAGGGCCTTGCATCCTTCTCGCGCACCCTCACTCTGCGAGGTGGACTGCACTGCCCCCTGGGCCGGTGTTGCATCCTGCGCCATGTTTGGACGCTGGCCCCAGGGCCGGCGAGGGTCCCCGGAGGCCGACGACGGCGAGAGAAACCCGCTGTTGCCGTGTTTGTCTCGGCGCTTGGCGCCCTCTTGGCGGCTCCCTCCAGTCGTGGCCTGGCCTTCACTAATTATCTTGCATTGCGCCCCATTGCCTTCTGACACGCCCTCTGGACTTCTCCTTGCGGGCCGCCGAACAAAAAAAAGTGTTTGTCTCGGCACCGAAGGGCGCAGCACCCGCTGCACCAGCGGCGGCGCAGCAGGCGCCGCAGCAGCCGGGGTCCTGCCCGCGGCGGCCGGGGGCGGCGAGCGGCGCGGCGCGCCCCCAGCGCGCAGGTTGGGGGGCTGCGGGCCCACTGCGCGCGCAGCGAGGCCCCTCGCCCCTCGCTGCTCCGTACCGTTTACCTCCTCCTCCCCCTCCTCCTCCTCCTCCTCCTCCTCCTCCTCCTCCTCCTCCTCCTCCTCCTCCTCCTCCTCCTCCTCCCCTCCTCTCCTCTCTCCCTTCTCCTCCCCCTCCCCCCCCTCCTCCTCCACCTCCTCCTGCTCCCCCTCCTCCGCCTCCTCCTCCGCCTCCTCCTCCGTCCCCAGCAGCTGCCCTGATACACCCGTTCTGAAACGCAGCACGTGCCGTGGTCAAGACGTCCGTGTCAGCACGCTGCGTGCTGGCTCGGCACGTGTCGGGCCACGTGTTGGCGCATGAGCTCGGTCGCGCCAGGCGTACGTTTTCAGTCTAGATGTTGAGCTCCTTGTTTATCTACACGCTACGGATTGCGCGTTGCGTATCAGGGGGTCGGCTAGACCCCATCCCCATCCCCACCTAGGCCCCCACAATATTGCCGCCCCAGTGGGGGATATGCCCCTCGCAACCCGAAAAAAGCGGCCCAGGCATCCGAATCTCGGGGGTGAATCGGCCTGCGCGGCTCAGGCCACGCCGTTGGAGGATGTATGGGGTCGGAGCTGAGCGATGCTCAGCTGCCGCTCGCGCCCGTTCTGGCAGGCCTGGGCCGTGGAAGCAGCGGCGAGGCGTCCTGGTTTGCCGGTCTGCCCACATTCGGCCACGCGCAGAAGGGGGGGCAGGGGGAGGGGGGAGGGCTTCTTAGAAGCACCCCTGCTTCTTAGAAGGCGCGGGCCTTGTCTGCAGATGTAAGGCCCGCGCCTTCTAAGAAGCGGCTTTTTCTAAGCCCTCCCCCCTCCCCCTATTCCCCTCTGCGCGCCGCCAACATACGCCCACCAATTGATATCGTAAGACCCGTTTGTGGCTTGCACGGAAGGCGTTTATAGTATTTCTCGTTGAGGCCGTCGTGTTTTATAGCACCTTCGCAAGAACCTTGTTTTTTTCTGTGTTGGGGACGCTCTTATGTTTTAGGAGCATTTCGTGGTGGGGTTATGCCGCGGATCTTGGGCGAAGAAGAGACACGTACGGTATGGAGCCGGCTGGACGTAAGGAAGCGCATGAGTGGTCGAGTGGTCCCGGCGAGCGCAGAAAGCAGGCAGGTTCGAGGTGCTGGGGTCGGCAAGGTTTTTTTGCCTATTTCGGCCTCTGGGGGCCTCCGCTTTCGGGCCCCGGACCGTGAACGACGGATCGGGAATGAAAAACTGCGCCAGAGGGATCCCGTGAGGGGTTGGGGGATACATGTTGGGCGGATGTGGCTTCTTCCCTCCCTTCCGGATCGTTTCTATGAGGCCGCAACCAGTTCAGGCACCTGGGCCGCTTCCGACTTACGGCCAGGAGTTTTGGCTCAGCGTGTCGCTCCGCCAGTTCTGGCCCACCGCGCTGCGGCGAGACGTGCCGTCCGCGTCCCAGCTACCAGGCGTCGAGGCCACGAGCATTTTCCGCGCCCTTCCCGCCCCGCGGGGCGGCGCGACACCTTGTCGGCGCGCAAGGCACAGCGTGTCGCCGGGGCCGCCGCAGCGACACGCCCCGACCGTACGGTCGGACCGAGGTATCAGATCGAGGTGGGTTTTGGGAGGGTGCCCGAACGTTCGTCTTGTTTTTCCCCATGTACTAAGATGGGGTTCTTATTATTACTTGGACGCCTCCTGCTCCTTCCTCCTCCTCCTCCTCCTCCTCCTCCTCCTCCTCCTCATACGCAGACTTATTCATACTCAGACATACTCATACTCAGACCTACTCATAGCAGATTGTGAGGATGTCTCAGGCTGGGCGCTGGTTTCAGCACCCCTAAAGGGGAGCCGCCGAGGGGTATGACACGGTCCCGTTCGCGGCCGTTTTGTGGGGATGTCTCAAGCGGTTTGCTTGTTTTCTGTCCCAGCATCCTTCGCTTTCGGAGCAGATTTGGAGGATGTCTCGAGCGAGGCGCTCACTTTCACGCCCCTAAGGGGAGCCGCCGAGGGGTATGACACGGTCCCGTTCGCGGCCGTTTTGTGGGGATGTCTCAAGCGGTTTGCTTGTTTTCTGTCCCAACATCCTTCGCTTTCGGAGCAGATTTGGAGGATGTCTCGAGCGAGGCGCTCATTTTCAGGTCCCTAAGGGGAGCCGCCGAGGAGTATGACACGGTCCCGTTCGCGGCCGTTTTGCGGGGGTGTCTCAAGCGGTTTGCTTGTTTTCTGTCCCAACATCCTTCGCTTTCGGAGCAGATTTGGAGGTTGTCTCGAGCGAGGCGCTCACTTTCACGCCCCGAAGGGGGGCCGCCGAGGGGTACGACACGGTCCCGTTCGCGGCCGTTTTGTGGGGATGTCTCAAGCGGTTTGCTTGTTTTCTGTCCCAACATCCTTCGCTTTCGGAGCAGATTTGGAGGATGTCTAGAGCGAGGCGCTCATTTTCACCCCCCAGGTGGGCCAGAGGATGTCTCGTTCGGTTTGCCTGTTTTGGTGGCCAGACTCGTGGACACAGGTTCTCCTCAGGATGCCACAGGATGCTCCAACAGGCTCCAGGAGGCCCCTGGGGACCACATGAGGTCCCAGGAGGCATCAGAAGGCCACAGAAAGACTCAAGAGGCCACAAGATGTCCCAAGAGGCTTCAGGAGGCCCCATGAAGCTCCAGGAGGCTTCAGGAAGCCACAGGAGGCCCCAGGAGGCCACAGGAAGCGCCAGGAGACTTCGGAAGGCAACAGGAGGCCCCGAGAGGCCCCAGGAGCAGGAGGCCTCAGAAGGCAAAAGGAGTGGCTGCAATCCCATGTGTTTTACGTATGCTCCTATAGATTGGGCCTCACCTGTAGCACGAATCCTTGACGTTACACGTATGTTTCTATATAGTATCCTTCTCCTGTGAACGCAATCCTAAATGTTTTACTTATGTTCCTATATGTTGGGCCTCTCCTGGGGCACGAGTCCTCGGTGCTTTATGTGTGTTCCTATTTCCTATATGTATGTTGCCCTTTTCCTGTGGCTCCAAACCTCAATGTCTTATGTACGTCGGTTGCTATAGATTGGGCCTCTCCTGGGGCACGAAGCCTCCCTGGGAGGTCCCAGGAGGCCCCAGGAGGCCCCAAGAGGCTCCTGGAGGCCCCAGGAAGCCCCAGTAGGTTTCAGGAGGCCCCAGGAGGCCCCAGGCTCAATCGCAGAGACGCGCTCGTACTGCTGAGGCTCATTCACATTCCAATTCATTCGCAGTTAGATTCATGACCAGACCGCCACAACTGAAGCCCGCTTAGATTCGAGAGCTTTTGCGCCTAGACGTTCACGGCGGACAGGTCCATGCGACGATATATGCACATATGGGGAGCTCCACGCAGTGAGTAATTGCTGTTGGTGGTCTTGTGCGCCCTGGGGGAGGGTACCCTCGAATGTTCCTCAGCTCGGCTGGCGCAGGGCCCTGCCGCACAGCCACTGGGCGGAGGGAGCCGCCCCCGACGGCCCGCCCATGGCCGACCTCGGCCCCTCCAGCGGTAATGGCCTGCGCGCGGCGTGCGCGAAGCAGGCGCCGCGCGCCGGCCATCACCGCTTCGGCGTCGGGGCGTCGTCCCCACTGCGAGGCGCCAGGGGCGGCCCCCTCAAGCCTGCGGCGTGGGCTGCCTCGGCCCTTCGCTCCTGGCGCGTGGCGGTGGCGGGTGGTCGGCGAGTCCGGGGGGGCAAGCCCGTCGAGGCCTGCCCCTTTGCCTCCTGCGGTGTGGGTTGCCTCCGTTTTCGCTCTGTAGACCCGTGGCGGCGGCGGGTGGTCGGCGAACCTTGGGGGGCAAGCCTGTCGAGGCCTGCCATCGACTACGCGCAAGAGTGCCCCTTCGCCGGGTTCCCCGATCGCCGAACGCGATGCAATATAGCAGCGTCTTGCGCGCCTGTGTTTGGTCCCACCGAGGGCCCCCCAAGAGGCCGCGCGTCGCCGAAAGCCCAAGGCTCCTGTGCTCTCGATTGGGGCGCCCCTCGGCGGGCTTTCGGCGAACGCGATTAGGGGGCCCGCGGGGGCATTCGAGCCTTTGTTTTTTTTTTTTCAGGCCGCAGCGCCTCCTCCTCCTCCTCCTCCTCCTCCTCCTCCTCCTCCTCCTCCTCCAGGAGCAACTCTGGCCCAAGGGCCCGCCTAAGCTCCGACCGAGCACTTGCTCATTGAACCCCATGTGAGCAGTATGTCTCAGTGCAGCGCAGCGGGGCTGGGCCGTCTCGGGCCAGATAGTTGCATGGGCACACTACCTCTGATTATGGGCACACTACCTCTGAGTTGGCTTCTCATAGCGAAGATCATATGTACAACGTGCAGAGCGCGGATTTCAAGCGACTCGAGGCGATCTCCGAGAACACAGCGAACAACGAGTTGGTCATTTCCACTGGTACTGACAAAGCGGCTCACATCGAAACAGAGAGCACGCAATGCCAGCGTTCTCATCACAAAGCTATTCATTTGGGTCGGCGGAAAAGTAGAACAACTAGTCGAACTTGTGGGTTAACAGTATTGTACGGCGAGAAGATAAACGGCACCGTGTCCACCAGACAGGTGCCACCGAAGTACCGTGGCCTATCTGAGGGATTGGGTTTAGTCAAATCTCATTTGGGCAAAATGAGTCTGGCAGTGTTTGTTTTTTACTTGCCACCAGAAGGAACAGCTGCAACATTGCTACACAACACCGTGAAAGCCGCGCTTGGTTGGATTCATAATGAGATGGGCCGCGTGGGTAGCAATTGTTTACCGCTGATTGTTGGAGGTTTTAACTGTGCAGAATGGATCAGCGACCGCAGCTGTTTGCCACGCTTGCGTCAGCAGCCCGACCTCGTAGAACTCGTGCGCAGCGACAGAATGGGGCAGATCGGGTATGTTCGTCGAGCACCTTCACGGCGCGCTGGGCCCTCTCGGGGTGCATTGGCAGAGGCCCTCGGCATGTGCATTGACTATCGCATGTGCCGTTTCTCAAGGAATAGGTCATGCGCGCCAGAGACGTGCAGCAGGCGTCATAATGATTTGCCGGCCTTGGTTAGGATCGCT